GAGCTTCAATCAACAACTGGGTTGACCCTGCCAAACGGATCCCGCCAAGTCTTCGTGAACAACGCACAGACCTACTCAATTGGCAAGGATCAATGGGTTGGAAAGACTCTCTTCCCGCTCACAAAAAGAAGCAGCACACAGCCGACACCTGCCATACGCTGGTGATCTCAAAGACAGCTGGACGCTGCGATGCCGTGGGCATATTTAAGTTGGGCTGCAGTTACAGCGCCAAAGAAGAAGCCAACACCATCCAATGTTGATGAAAAGAAGCTCTCCTGGGAAGATCGCCTCGCTTTTGTGGAAGGAAAGAAAGTGAACTCAGCTCGATCTTCGAGAATGGTGTTTGGGAGGTGGAACTACATCCACACAATGTCGCTCCAGATCGCATCCTTCGAGCAAGATGGGTTCTCGCCTGGCGCACTGGAGCAGGAGGTGAACAAAGAGCGAAGGCACGTCTAGTTCTCCAAGGGTTCAACGACCCAGACCTCCTAGAAGGCAAACTGGAAACCAGCAGCCCCACTTTGTGCAGAACAGCTCGACAGACCCTGTTGGCAATCGCATGCAATGAAAACTGGGAAAAGTGGGTGAGCGATGTTGCCACAGCTTTCCTATACAAGGCGACCCACAAACTCGCCAACTTTGGGCAAAGCTTCCTCAAGATGCCTGCAAGATGTTGAACCTGGAAAGTGGAGCGTTGATGAAATTGAAAAAGCCACTATATGGTCAAGCTGATGCACCTCGTGAATGGTACAAAGTTGCAACCAGGAAGCTCCAACAGTTGGGATTTGCACCTCATCCTCTAGAATGTTGCCTCTTCCGACTGTTTGATGAAAATGATCGCTTGGTATGTTTGATTGGCCTCCACGTTGACGATATGCTGGGCGCTGGAGATCCAAGCTCATCGACCTATCAAAAGGTCAAAAGTGATCTTCGCAAGACCTTCGACTTCAAGCACTGGAGTGAAGAGGAAGAGGACAAACAACTTGAGTTTTGCGGCTGCAAGCTAAAGAAGATAGGTGAACAAACAGGGCAATTGCACCAAGAGGACTACATCCCTGGAGTGAAGCCCCTGACAACTACACCAAAAGGAGACCACGACCCATTGTCTCCAAAAGAAGTGTCAGCACTCCGTGGGCTTCTGGGAGCACTTCAATGGCCATCAACACAGTCAATGCCAAATTTGAGCGCTTCAGTTTCCCTACTTTGTGGAAGCATCAATGGTGCAACAGAGTCCATCGCAAAAGCAGCAAACAAAGCACTCAGGTTCGCAAAGAACAACAAGGACGCTTCATTGCAGTTCACAAGATTGGGTGAGTTGAATGAACTTTGTTTGACAGTGGTTAGCGATGCTGCATGGGGTGTTCGCCCCGATCACTTCAGCCAAGGATACTTCATCCTGCTGTCCCACAAGGACGTGCTGCACAAGGGTGGCAATTTCAAGTATGTCATCCTTGACTGGAGGTCATATAAATTGCCCCGAATCAGCAGAAGCAGTCTGAACTCCGAGTCTCAAGCTTGCAGTGCAGCCATGGACTCCCTCGAGTACATTCAGTTGTTTTGGAAGGGATGTGTCAACAGCTCATTCACCACCTCAAATGTGGATGAGAAAACTGGTCGGCTACCATGTGCCCTTGTGGTCGACGCTAAAGCCCTATATGACTGCCTCAAAAGTGAAGCACCACAATTGACTGGGGATAAACGCACCCAGATCGAGGCCCTGGTGATCAAGAGAGAAGATGACCCAGAATTGCCGTGAGACTCCAATTCCAAGAGAGATTTTCCTTTCAGCACATGGATCGAAGTTCCATGTGGATCCTCAATGCCTGACGCTGCACAACGCTGCAGGTCGAACGACGATGGAGTGTTGTAAAACCTGCGAAAAGCAGGTAGCCAAAGACCGTTGGTAGAGACTTGACCTTCGGTCAAAACCTTTCCTTTCTTTTGCCAGTGTGAATTTGAAGCAATAGAAGCAAGTACATGTCATTGAAGATGACTGAGCTTTCGTTCGCACTTCACTGCCGCCGCTTCTCAAAGCGCGCTTGAGCCACGACACGTGGCCACTTGTTCATGAGGTCTGTGGAAAAAAGGCCCACTTGTGTTCAGACGGAAACTTAGAGCGTTCCGCATTGACGGTGAACTTGGTTTTCCTCCTTTCTTGTTCTCCGTGTTTTCACATTAAGCTTTATGATTGAACTCACTGACTCATATGTTTCAAGTGAGTTGAAACCACCAACCAGATCATGATCAACTTGAGTCATAGCTGCGCCTGATTGTGCCAGGACGAGTTTCCAGTCTTCGAGCACTATGTCCAGAACCATTTGCTGGAAGCCTACCAGAATGAGATGCAGGTCTTCCTTGATGCGGTGCACGACCTCTCAGTGCCAGATTCCGATCTCCTTCTGCAGCTCGATATTCCGCTTCAGAATTTGTTGTTGACCCGCTTTAGAATTGAGTGTAGACCCCTTTAGAAACTTGCGCCATTTTGCAACTACGACCCTCTGGCCACTTCAACAAGTAGCTCAATCTGACTCGCTTCAGCAATTCAGTTTGACGTACTTCAAGTGGGCTCCATCGAGCGTCTATTCCTCCTCGCACGACTACTCAAGCGTTTAGCCGGGCTGAGCGAAGGGTGGGACACAGAGAATGCCGATGGTCACAATATCGCAGACGGAGACGCAGCCTTCATAAGGGGCTTGGAAACCTCACGTAAGCAATGAGTTCTTATTCTGTAGTGGGTCCTGCAAGCACTTCACAAGGAATTTTCCACACACATGCGAGACAAGTACAGGAAACAACACAGTCATTTCCAGGCTTGCCAGTGCAGTTCGCAATGGAACACCTTTGGACTTGGACAGATTACGCCAAGACAGCGAGAGCTACCGGGAGAGGGGTTCTTATTTCCAGTATAGGAAGAGGTGTCCTCGTTGCAGGGTGTTGCTGCCAGATGTTTGTGGTACTGTGCGCTTCGCCAGTACCGCTTTTCTGCCACTGTCCAGGCTTGGCATAGTTTTTGGTCGGGGGTGTGCAGTTTTGGACCTCGCCTGCATCTCGCCCGGATCCCGCCCAGGGCCACCATCCGCTGCTGTTCGTGTGCTGCTGCTTGTGTTGAGGCGGGCGCTGTTGGTGCTTTCTTTCTTTGCCCTCGACCATAAGTCTCCACTCTCTTTCGTCTGCGCAGCCCCCCCGAAACTGAGCGAAAACCAAGGGTTGTGGAGGCCAGTTGTGTGAGTTGTGGTGCTTTGCTGCTGCTGCTGCTGCTGCTGCTGCTGCCGCCACTGCTGCCACTGCTGCCGCCACTGCTGCCACTGCTGCCGCCGCCGCCGGTGCTGCTGCTGTTGCTTGTTTGCTGCTGCTGCTCAGAATCTTCCAACCTCTACCTTTTGTCCACCTCCATCACCTCAAGTCGAGTCACCTGATGTGTCTAAAGTTGGTGGCAGAATTTCTACAGCGTTCCATTGGGATTGACGCGCGGGAAGCAGATGTAAAATCAATCAAACCCACACTCTTTCAGAACTAGCGTTCCATTGGTCTTTGCACTCTTTGGGTCGGCTTTTTGGTGACAAACCTTGTTTGGGTGTCAGGGGGTGACTGGGGGATGACTTCTTGGAAACAACGTTGCCATGGTGATTTGGCTTTGAAGTATTGGCAGGGGGTTCCTGTAGAGAGCTAGTTCAAGTAATTAGTGAAATCAAGCGTCATGTTCACATAACTGCCCTTCACAACGAAGCCTCACTGAATGTTTGGTTTATTTGGACAACCTACAACCATCTCGTCGTGTGAGGCAGGCCCTTGGCTTTTGCATTTTCTTCGCCCTCTCAGTCCTCATCGCTCGTGTCTTGCTGGGGAAGATGAGGCTCTCCACTGCAGGATTGCTGAATGTTGGAATTACCGGGCCCATGCACCTCGCCGCACTTGCTCCCAAGTCGGATCTTGAGGAGGTGCTTGAAAGCATCACCATCTTGATCCCACTGCGTGGCGCAATATTGACCGTAGTTTTGTACGCAGCATGGGGCAGCCGAAATCCAGAACCGTTCACAGCTTTTGCACTGAACCACCCAGTGAACCTTTTCAACCTTCAGTTTGCTTGGTTGGTGCTTTGGTTCGCGCATCTTGGCTGAGGGAGTTATTGCAGCTTCATACAGAATCAAATCAAATATAATAGGAGTTCATGGCGTGTGAACATGCAATCATTGCCAGACCATCAGTTGACTTTGTTTGCCATTGCCATGCACGAATTTCTATAATTTTTAAACCCTCGACCCACGGTATGGAGGTACAATTGTCCAGTATAAAATCAGGGGGGTCAACCCTCCTTATGAAACGATTTATCTATGCTAAATTAGACGTCACACCCCCCATTTCATAGACAGACCATTGTTGAAGCAGAATTATAAGACTTCAAGAGGGGGTCAACACTCGGAGTTTTATACAGTCGATGGTTGCTTGCTTATTTTTTAAAACTATATTCCCCTGAGGGGGGGAAGACAATGCTAGGCAACAATGGCAATCTGCAGGAATCTGCAGACCTGACCCATGAATGTCGATGTTTGTAAGTGGCAATGACAATCTACAGCAATCTGCAGACGTCACCGTGGGTCGATCATTCATGAGTTTCCAGCTTTCAAATTTCAAACAAACAAATACAGTAGTCGTTTGTTGCTGAATATTGATCATAACGTAGGCTAGCATCCTATATAGGAGCCTGTCATTGTCACTCAACCTGTGCCCAGGCATGTGTTCACTGGTTGGCTGGGTGTGTCTGCGCTACGATCCTATGTGCCTTCAGATGAGGAGTTTGCCAGAACAAATGCCATGCAGCAGCTTAGGTTTGATTCACATGGTTGTTTTGATAGTGTTTCGATCAACACCTTTTGTTCACCATTTGCTTGAAAAACCTCGCTTCTCTCTGAGGCCTGCAGACTATGGCGCCACTGGCTCCATCCTCTATGCCCCACCTGGATTGACTGACAATTTAGGACCACCTGGTTTCAAACGCGAAGATGTTTGAATCCATTCCTTTCACCAAGACTTCCCTTTCGTCTGAGACTGGGACAGTCTCAAGACGGCAAAGCCTCGATCCGTGCACAGACATGGCCGCCATGGTCAGCTTTGGTGAGTGCTACAAGTCCGTAGGGCTCCTGAGAAGGGTCGTTGACCTCGCACGGCCGTGGAACCACTTTGCCGGTCCATTTGAGGCCAAGCCGGCGCACGGTGGCAATGAAACCAGGCGCGCGGGGGTGCTGCCGAGGCAGAGAAGCATGAAAACTAGACGACGAGTGGCCCGAAAGCATTTTTCATCACGTAGGAAGTCAGAGTGTGAGTTATCTGTTAAGTGTTCAGTGTGAAGTGTTAAGTCGAGTGAGTTGAGGCAGTGTGTGGGTCTCTGTGTGTGTGTATCTATGTCTGTGTGTGTATGAGTCTCTGTCTGTGTGTGTCAGCCGCGAGAGATGACTCATCCGCGTACTAAAGTTGCACTGCAAAGTCACCAGTTCTCAGCTTCCAGCTCCCCAGATACTCCGCGTACTAAAGTTGTACTACAAAGT